TAAAGTTTGGAACAAAACAAAAATCTAACATGAAAATAAATAAAAAATAAATAATTTGAGAGGATAAGCCATTGAAAGTTAGAGAAAATAAAAAATAAGCTTATCTTTACAAATTAAGGAAGAAACAAATTATTTATAAATTAATGTTTATAAAATTGATCTGGTCCATGTAAAGACATTAATAGTTAAGTTAGTATATATTTTAATAGAGTAATATTCTATGAAACATTAATCTCACATCTAGTGGGGGGTGTTCTATATTTATATGAAACAATCTTACATGAAGTGTGGTGTGTTTGCAAGCTGAGGTGTCTTAATAGGTCGTAGATAATGCATTTTTGGCATCTCGACCCATTTGAGAGTGAGTAGTAAGTGATCTAATTAAGTTAGTTGGTTGTCTTCTTCAGCCATACCTAGAACAAAAATCAATGTGATTTTAGGATAGTTTTAGCAAACATTAGAAGAAAATAAAAAAGTAAGGAGCATAAAATTTATTTTATAAATAAATTAATATAAAATTATATACAAATCAATTTTGAGAGAAATTGTAAGAAAACAATTTAAAAAAATAAATGATTGTAAATTAATTTTAGCTTATAAACAATGTTTAGTTTATTTTACTATCAATTTAGTTTATTTTTAGCTTATGAACCTCTAAGCCTCATAACTCTTACTAGCACACCAAAATTCGGAAATTGAGTTATAACTTTATTGTCATGTTGGTTTTACTTTGATATTAAATAGTATAGAAGAACATCTTCTCACTTTCTCAGCTGAGAATTTTTCACAATTTCTAGTAGCTTGTGCATAAGTGGGGTTTGATCTGAAAGGAGAGAAAAAGACAATAGCAGAGTCTTACTTTATGGGGTGGTATCAAGAATTTAATTGGGGTGTCAATCTCTTGTAACCACTACTAAAGGAAAAGGAAAAATAAAAGTAAGGGTAGCGTGTTTAGTATCCAAAGCTTTAAAGTGTACCTCTAGGCTGAGAATATATTCTATCTTTAACTCTTCATTGGCTGGTTCACATGAGTTGAAAGCTTGTGAAATTTTTTCATATTTGATATGCACTACAGCCAATGAAATCAAAGCTTATTATATAATTTATAGTGGGTTCTTTCTAGACATCTTTTAAGTGTAATATTCCTGGGATCAACTTCGAACTTGCACGATTTTCTTTACTTAGTGATCACACTACATCCACATATTTGCTTCACCAATCAATCAATTAAAGTTCAGCCCTTGAGATGCCTCAATATCTTATATTAATCGAACTATGTATATTCTCTTATATAAGCATAGTTCCATAATTGCTAAACTAATATTAAAGTTATGTAATATATACTGTATAATAAAGACACTAAATTGTACTTGCAATGGGACTAGTCTATCTTGATATACATCGTGACCGACATAAATGTGTATTTAGTACGAAAATTGTTGTTTGTAGGGAAGAAGTTGATAAGTAAAATGCAGTGAATAGGTGAGAAATTGATGCAATGAGGGGAACAAGCTGGTGGAGCAAGGTGTCAATTGTCAACAAATTTGGAAGCTTTATAATTGTCGTCTTTTTCTAATGAACATGGCGAACGGCATAATCATGTGGTGGGTTGGTACGATGATAAGGGTTCCTCCTCCTTCATTGAAACATTCCTATAGTGAGTAAAAAGAACAATGATTTCCCACTCATTTGGGCTACTCTATGTTGAATATATTCATTAAGGTCATGGTCAACTTCTCTTTAATCCATTGCTTTGACTCTCGTTCTTGGGCTTCAAAGAACTTTTTCTATGCCGCATTATTTTTAACTTTTTGGTAAAATATTTAGTATTTTTTCAGGTTTGGAAGTAGAGTTTGGTTAATCAAGGAAGGGTAAGAGCAAAGGTTCTAAGCTTTTAACATGCAAATTAGAAAGGAACAAGAATGTTGACACTAAACAAGAGAAGACCCCAATGGCTTTCAAGAAATCATATGATACGGTGTGCATAGTGGTCATATGGTTGCACACAAAATTAACGGATGTTGGGTGCCTTTAATACATACATATGTACATATATATAAGATTATACCTTTTAAAAGTTTAATTTGACTTAAAATTTATTTGAAGATCTTATAATTTAAAGTCATTAAATCATTTATAAAATCAATTAAGATGGAGTTATATGATTATTGGTCTTATATCATATTTACTTGAGTCGTTATCTTATAATTTGTATTTAAATGATTTTTTTTCAAATATAAAGATATTCTAAATATTTGTTTTTCTGGTTGCTATATTATTTGTGAGTCTACTCATGTAAATTTCTTTTGTTGATGTTTAATTTAATTTCATTATTTTGCAAATAATGTTATTATGATATTTGAATTTATATTATAAAATACTTTTACATACCACCTTAGTTAATATAAATTAAAATAAATCAAAATATAATTAGCTATTATATTGTTAAGACGCTGCATGTCATGTAAATATTTTAAATAGTGTATAATATTTTCAGTGATAATTCTTCAAGAAGTATTATAAGTTTAAATTGAATTATTTAAATTTATATATTCTGTTAAGAGATGTCACGTGACATCATTAATTTGTATAGTTAAACTTATCTTAGTTTAACAATTAGTATGTTAATTGCAATTTTAAATAATTAGTTTATAAAAAATATTTATATGATCAAATTATTCGCATAAGCAACATTGGCCACCCAAAGTATTTGAAAAAATGGAATAATATAAAGTTGCTATGGTTAATTTAATTGGAGATATTAATGTACGACTGATGACTTTTTCTTCTTTTTATGAAAGGTAAACTCTAATATAAATATTTGAGCATCATATATAATATATAAAATTACAAAATAAAATAACAAAAGGCTCTTTAAATAATTTAAGTTGCTTTAATATCAATACATGTACGTAACCGTAAGCGTATATGATTGTTAATTGATAAATACTGTACAAAAAATAGAATCAAAATACTTATGTGTTATCGTGTATCATATATAATCCATGCATAAACAAATTTCATTTCAAAGACAACATATAATTATTACGTGTCAATAATATATATTTAAAAATATTATAATTATTAATTAAAATTTATATAAGTCTCATTTTTTGATTTTTTATAATTTATAATAAATTTTAACAAATAATTTAAAATATATTAAAAAATCAGAGAGTGTTTAGTTTTTCTTCATATGGATTGACGATTGATGAGGTAGAATGATTGATAGCCGAAACTGGTATTATGTGGGGTCGATATTGCACGTGCACCAAGGTGCCATAGTGAGGCACGGCATGCAATCAAGGAGTAACTGGTCCTATTTCAGATGGAAACAATGGGACCCATTTCACCTGTAAAGGAAAAGGTGTTTGAACTTTGAACGCCCTTTCACCCAAAAATGAAAAAGGAAACCTTCCAGTTCCAGGGATGAGCATTGAGCACTGCATAAATACTATTTCACATTTTCAATAATCATTTTTGAATTTATAATTATGGGTAGAGGTCACTATTGATTTATTTAAATAAGTTTTTAGCCTTACATGTGTGCAATACATGGCTATCTTTATTTTCTCCATAAAATTATATACACAACAGTTAATTCTAGATAAGAGTTTCATCTATGTTTAAAAAAATGTATAGATAAAACCACTTCAATTGAAATGGAACTATGTGCAACAGAGAACTTGCAAGTTGTGACTGTGGATGGCATTTTACTGGATCCTATTTGGGTGATGAAGATCTTGTCATTCTAATTTAGAGGGTTGAAAAAATCTTAGCAGGAAAACAAAATTTATGCCAAGTTCATGTCAGTTCTTTTGTTTGGTGGGTTCTGCATGTCAGCTCTGATATGCAAACCAAAAATTGATGAAAAATAAAAGAAAAAGGTTCCTATAAAAACGGGAGTGAAATGGACATTACAGACCCCATGTACTTCATGACACAGCAATGATGGTAGAAACTAAAAAGCCCTCAACTTGGCTTGTTAGTTATGAGGGGTACTTTTGGGTTTTCCAAGTGGGGCTAATTCAGATACAGCTTTTACTTTTAAAAGTTGGCTACTTTTGGCTTGTTTATTAGAGGAAGTGTCTGATGAATGTGATTATTTGGAGACAAAATGAGTGATTGAGAATCAATAAAGCATACCCAACTAAGATTAACATGACCAAAGAAAATTAAAGAAAATGAACAGTGAGAAAATGGGAGACATAATTGACACAACAAAGATCTCACGAGGAGGAGCCATTGCATCATCAATCTCAACCTCAATCCCTTGGGATTCTAACTTTTTCTCATAATAATTGAATAAAACGAAAGAAAGTGGAGTTTGGTACTTAAAAAAGATAATGCATTCCTTAGGGACAGGGAATGTTTTTGGATTCTAATTTCTACAGGACACTCACAAGAGCTTAACAAATTAAAGATGGAAATACTCATTTTACTCCTTTAGATTAAAAGTGTTAATTACTTTAAATTTTAATTTTATAAAACTTTTATTTTAGTTTTTATTTTTTAAATATTCATTTTACTTATTTATTATATTTTTTAGTATCATTTTATATTAAAAATTAAAATAAATATCATTTTATAAAATCATAGATTAAATTTTTTTTATATAAAATCAACTATTGAAGTGATTAATACTTTTAATTTGAGAAATTAAAGTGAGTACTTATTCCAAATCAAAGTGATCCACATGTGTTATTTCTCTCTCTCTCCAAGTAGCTGGCAGCAAAACTAACTGCCCCACTTAATTTTCTGATTAAGCTCTCAATTGAGCATAACTTCCACAATGCTTAACAGACAATATTTCACTTGCCTTTACTATTATTTTTTAATTATATCTTAAGAGTAGAATAACTCTCTGTTCTTTAGACCAATGCATGATTGAAGGAATTTTCTTTTTCAATCGTCTTTTGCTTTTATCTAGAAAGAGGTTTATGGAGGGAGGAGTGGCTCTTGGCTTTTTATTATATATTCTTTGCTTTGCTCTCTTTGTTGAACCATTGGCAGCCATGCTGGTTCTCTTTTAACTCTTGGTTCTTATTCGAGTCTGACACAAGGATGAGAGTGAGTGCAATTCTGGCTTGAAAGCAGGTTGGAAATGGTCCTGCTTGTTCCTCTCTTCTGATGTAAAACATGACATGTAACAAAACAAACCAAGTTGGATTTGTTGGTACCGCTGAATCATTCAAAATTAACCTGCTCCTTAGTCCTCACGTGCCTTCTTAAGATAGAACTTGATCCAGTTTTTGTATTGGTAAACAATAAGTTTCAAGTGATACTTCAACCCAATGGAAAGAAGAGCGGATGTAACTCTCTTTTGTTTGGTTTCGTTCTTCATGTGGAGTTCAGTGGCTGGTTTGCTTTCTCCTAAAGGTGTTAACTACGAAGGTGACTAGGAGTACTTCTAAGTTTCCCCATTTTTTGGAGCACACACATGGATGTGAGGTCACCCACTAGTCCTAATAAATGCAGAGCTGATATCTCCCTTGTTTTACATGCAGTTCAAGCTCTGATGAGCATTAAGTACTCTCTGGCGGATCCTCATTCTGTCTTAAATAACTGGGATGCTGATGCTGTGGATCCTTGCAGTTGGGCTATGGTCACTTGTTCTTCTGATCATTTTGTGATTGCCCTGTGAGTCATGCTAAGAAATATTTTATTTTTAACTGTTTTTCTTCTTCGTAAGACTCTACTTATTGCATCATTTTCTTTTATTTTTCTTCTTATTCTCAGTGGGATTCCTAGCCAGAATATATCTGGTACACTCTCATCAAGTATAGGAAACTTGACAAATCTTCAGACTGTGTGAGTAAACCTGTTATGTCTGGTAAAGAGAGCATGGTTTGAAGTTTTTGTTAAGGTTATCTTATTAGACATTCTACAGGCTCTTGCAGGATAATAATATAACAGGACCAATACCCTCTGAGATTGGAAGGCTCCAAAAGCTTCAAACTCTTGATCTTTCTGACAATTTCTTCATTGATCAACTTCCAGATTCTCTTTCCCACATGAAGGGTCTCCATTATTTGTAAGTTGAGAAATCCTGCACAATAGGCTTTATAGAAAAATGTGTGTTATTTCCCTATCAAGAATATGATGTTAGGAATTTGAATTTCAATCAGGCGGCTAAACAATAACAGTCTCTCTGGACCAATTCCTTCCTCTTTGGCTAATATGACTCAGCTTGCCTTTCTGTTAGTCTCTTCTACCCTTTTATTATTACTAATTTATTAATTATTTTTCTACTTATTTTCTCCCTCATGAATTTGATTTTCAATCAATAATTTGTCTTCTTCTGAATTTTGCTTAGGGATATCTCTTATAATAACTTGAGCGGCCCTGTACCTACATTAAATGCAAAAACATTCAAGTAAGTGGTTTGGTCTTTCATTTTATTTTATTTTTCTTGGTCACTATTTTCTGTGTTTTCCTCATGTGAGTTAAAAAATCTAAATTCTGTTCACATGTGATTAAATATTTGTATGTTTTTCCTTCTCAGTATCGTCGGCAATCCTCAGATATGTGCCACTGGAGTTGAGCAGAAGTGCTTCAGAACAGCATCAATTCCCTCTACTACGAATAATTCTCAAGGTAATCATAGCTCTTACATGTTGCAGATTTTTTATGCTTCCTGAAGCCTCTAAAGTTTTTCTTCTAACCTGTTATAAAGTGATTGCATTTTGACTACCAAGTTCATGATGGACTTGGTATAAACCTTTTTTTTAGTCCAAACCACTGTTTTTGGGTGCAAAAATATTTCATACATAATTGCTTAAAACCATCAATTTCTAAATAGTCTTAACATATTTTTAATCACTGCTTCCATCATTCTTCACCTCTTTATTTATTTTTGTTTGCATGGAATTACCTTCATACCTTAACACAATTGCCTGAAATGCTTTTTCAAGATTCACAATCCTCCAATAGGCCAAAAAGTCACAAAGTTGCCTTGGCATTTGCTTCAAGCTTAAGCTGCATCTGCTTACTAATTCTGGGGCTTGGCTTCCTCTTATGGTGGAGACAAAGATATAGCAAGCAAATATTCTTTGATGTTAATGGTTAGTGAAATCACAAACTGAAGCACATATGGGCCAACTTAGTAGGCATACAAATGGTTTATTCTTCTCTTTTCTAATATCCTTTTCCAAAACTTTCAGAACAAAACCGCGAAGAGGTTTGCCTTGGAAACCTCAAGAAGTTCCATTTCAGAGAGCTTCAGCTTGCTACAAATAACTTCAGCAGCAAGAACTTGATTGGAAAAGGTGGTTTTGGAAATGTCTACAAAGGCTATCTGTCTGATGGCACAGTTATAGCAGTAAAAAGGCTTAAAGATGGTAATGCCATTGGAGGTGAGATCCAATTCCAGACTGAAGTTGAGATGATCAGCTTAGCCGTCCATCGGAATCTTCTTCGCCTCTACGGGTTCTGTATGACAGTTACTGAGAGGCTCTTGGTTTATCCCTACATGTCAAATGGTAGTGTTGCTTCCCGTTTAAAAGGTAACTAGATCACAGTTACTATGTATAGTTATTATACAATTGGTTTTAGGAAGTGGCAACTCGTGTTGCTTGGACCTATTTGGAAGAACTTATGGACAACTTATGAAAACAGCTTGTTACTCTCATAAGCTTGTTATAGTTGTTTCAATAAGTTTCTTGGTATAGCTTATCAAAATAAGTTGTTTTCAACTTGTCTCAATAAGTTTTCCATTAAATTTATGCCATAAGTTATTGTTTAAAAAGAACTTAATTGAACAAGCACTTAAATAAGTTATGTATCTAAACACACCTTTAATTCTTGAAAGCGTGTGTTGTTTTCTTGAAGTGTTAACTTGCTAACGAGTTAGTCCTACTCCTACCAAGTTGTCAACTTGTAAACATTTTCATTCCTCAAAGTATTAATTTACATGGATGAAAACTTTCAAGGTCCTAAACAACACAAGTTGATCACTTTTGAAGGACCAAATTGTATATTAACTCATATCAATATATGTGATACATAATTCTTGGTTGTGCTTGCATGCACATGAAATGGTTTTGAGTTTCCAACCATAACTGTTGGTTTATGCAGCAAGAGTGCTCATTTTTCTTCTGATGATGCAGCCAAACCAGCTCTGGACTGGGCTACAAGGAAGAGGATAGCTTTAGGAGCTGCAAGAGGCTTGCTATATTTGCATGAACAGTGTGACCCAAAGATTATTCATAGAGATGTGAAGGCTGCAAATATCTTGCTTGATGATTATTGTGAGGCTGTGGTAGGAGATTTTGGGTTGGCAAAGCTGTTAGACCACAGGGATTCACATGTGACAACAGCAGTTAGAGGCACTGTGGGACACATAGCTCCGGAGTATCTTTCAACAGGCCAATCGTCAGAGAAAACAGATGTGTTTGGGTTTGGAATTCTTCTTCTTGAATTGATATCTGGCCTAAGAGCTCTTGAATTTGGGAAAGCAGCAAACCAAAAAGGAGCTATGCTTGATTGGGTGAGCCAAATAGATTTGGTGGGAGAAAATGATTTCTGTTTTCATAAATAATTATAAAAATATCACATTATGTTTTACTTTATTTTCTTTTTATTTTTAAAAAATCGTATAGAAATAGGTGATAACAACTTTTCTTCACCATTTTCTGTGCAAATTTTTTAAAATAAAAAATAAAGTGATATCAAAGTCTCAATCTTTTGTAATTATTTTCAAGAACTGAAAATGAAAATAGAAAACTTTTTACAAATAATCATAAAAAATTTGCATTATTTTGATTTCTAAAAACTTGTTTATAAAAAAGGTGAAAACAATTGTTTTTTCAAATTTCCTATATAAATCTTTAAAAATAAGAAGAAAAGTGAAATTGAAGTCTCTATTTTTGCAATTACTTTCAATAACGGGAAGTGAAAATAGAAAACGTTTTATCAAACTAAACAGACCCTTATTTGTTTGTTTTATTGGTTTGCTTCACTAAATGGTATTCACCAAACATCATTAACTATACTTGCAGGTGAAGAAAATCCATCAAGAGAAGAAAATAGACTTGTTAGTTGACAAGGACCTAAAGAACAACTATGATAGGATTGAGCTTGATGAGATAGTTCAAGTGGCTCTTTTATGCACTCAATACCTTCCAAGTCACAGACCAAAGATGTCTGAAGTAGTTAGAATGCTTGAAGGAGATGGGCTTGCAGAGAAATGGGAAGCCTCACAAAGAGCTGAATCCACAAGAAGTAGAGGAAATGAACTCTCCTCTTCAGAACGCTATTCTGATCTCACTGATGACTCTTCATTACTTGCACAAGCAATGGAACTTTCTGGACCAAGATGACATTCAATTTAAGTTGAGCAGTGGAAGAAAAAAATGATGTTAATTCAAATGCATGTCCTTGAGTTTAAGTTCAAGTGAATTTGCTGTATATTAGTTAGCTTCAAAGTAGCACCTCAAAGAGATATGCTAGTACTTTCTGACTGTATAGAATCTGATTGGAGTGGAGACATTGACATATAGATCAAGTGTTGTGTGTTTTTCTTAATTTCTGGGGCGAAGATTTTTGTGGGAAATTTCCTTCTGGCTCCTTCAATTTGTTAGAAGAATAATGTTCATAAAATAGAGTGTACTTATAACTGTTAATAATAGTATTTTGAGATCTTGGAGTTTTAGTTATAATATAACTCAGATTAATTTAATTATGTTTTCTGCTTTACATTCTCACGTATTTTCACTGCATGGTAAGGCACGGAGATTAAATACAATACAAAGATATAGAAAAGGGATCCCACGCAGTAACATTATCACCAGAGAGAATTTTCACCCTTAAAATAGTTATTTTTTTTATTTTTAAAATAAAAAATATCAAATGAATAGTTAAAATTGACTCTGAACTTGGTGCAGTGAAATTCGCGGAAAAAATTCTCTCCTGTTACATAACCTTTATATTCTATGTTTTTGTATTTTTATTTAAGCAAAAATGTAAAAATACAGCAACATGACCTTAAGTTTGTGCTAAAAAATAAGGGGATTTGGATCTAAAATATTCATTGTTGACCATCTAAATCTCAAAAATATGGTTTTAAATTGCGGAACTTATGAACATTATAGTTGTGGTAAATGATAATGGCATGGTTTCTCTTTATTTTTAAAAAATAATTCTTCCATAATAATTGTTTTAAAAAACATTTTGTAATTCATTTAAGCTCTATATTTTATGTTGGACTAACCCTGACTCTCAACCTATTTTAACACCGCATTTGCAACTGCATAAGTTCACACCAGCCTATAGTTCAATTATCCTTAGCCTTATTCAATATTTTATATGTAGCCTCTCAATTTTCAAATCAAAGTGAACCACTCTCGTTATTTCTATAGAAAAGCTATGCATATTCAGAATCGAGAGGACCTTTCGGTGCCTAATTCCTCGTTACATGTTGAAGCAACGGATCCAATTTTCGTTTAGGCACTAGTCTCTGACTTTTCGGACATTTTCCTCTTCCTATATTGTCCTAGGAAAACACAAAAACTTATGTTACTTCTCTCTCCTAGGTTGATAGTAGGGAAACTTTGTCATCTATCTTGTCCGAATTAGCATGTTAACCTGTAATTATAATTTTCTTTAAAAGAGTAAAAGGAGAGTTGATGATAAAGTTAAAAAATATATGAATATTTAAATGAAAGAAGAATATGTTAGATTAAGACAAATTATTTATTTAAGTCTCATGTTGAAAAATTTAAAATAAAACGATTAAAAAGTATTTTAAATATAAAATTTATTTTATCTTTATTCATCACAATAGCATGTAATTCTTTGAATATATTAAAGACTTAAACAATTGTTTATCGGTTAAGGATTTAAAATTTTATTCGTTTAAAAATGACAAGGGAATTTTATTTTACAAAAAAATTTAAAATAATAAAATTATAGTGAGAATTTATAGATATAGACAAAAGGTGTTGAAACAAGTTCAAATTTTTATATTTCTATTTTTTTTTTCTTTTATGTGAATGCTATTAGGAATAAAAAATATAGAGAATTTTTCTCTTTCTCCAACAGACTGAGATTTTCTCTCTTTAATTCTTCATTGTAGGCTTTATTGCTTTGTGATATTAGTTGGTTGTTTGCACGAATTTGTACAGTATTTTGAGACTCTCTTATAACCTTATTTGATTATAATGGAGCTTGATTGACTGACTTGTATCTGTCGATTTTTACTTCTCACATTTCAAAAAGTTCAAATTTTCAAGCTCATTTTTTCACTTAATTAAGGGGAGTGAGAAGTCAGAAGAGTGGGTGAGAGAAGTCTAAATTGGAGTGTTTTTCCCGCATCCTGTGGGGGGTATTTTTCGCAGAGACATCAAAAGAGAGAAGGGAAGTGAGAGAAGAAATAAGCTCCAGACCATCTACTTCATTCCTATGATATCCGATTCGATCACTGATGGATCAGGCTGAAAAGTTTACAGCAGATTCGTAACACGGTGATCTACGTTCTGACCGTTCGGATTATCATTTAGATGTCTGAATTTGGAGATATTGTCTTCACACAGAAGCTCTATTTTGGTGACTCTCCACAGAACAGCCGCAGAGAAATCGTTATTTCTCCTTATTCAACCGTTGGATTAAGTTGAAACTTTGACAGTAGTTCCCATACGTATAGTTCTTCGTTCTGACTGCTGGGATCGTCAATTGGAAATTTTGGATGAGAGAAATCGTGTCTGAACAGTAGCCCTGTTTTGCGAGATTTTCTCTCTTTGGTTCTTCATTATAGGCTTTATTGCTTTGTTGTATTAGCTGGTTGTTTGCATGAATTTATGCAATATTTTGAGACTCTCTTATAACCTCATTTGATTATAGTGGAGCTTGATTGACTAGCTTGTGCCCGTGAGTTTTTACTTCTCACATTGAGAGGTTTTTCCTACGATAAAATTGTGGTGTCTCTTATGCGTGATTATTATTGTTGTGCTGCTATTTGTTGTTGATTGTTGCTCCTCACAAATTCTTGCAAGTATGGGAATTTATATCTGCTGCGTATTTGGAATATTTGGTAGAGTGTGTGTGTTGTTTTTCCTAAAAGAGTGGTATCAGAGCTCTTTGAGCTCTAGTTTTGGGATTATTTGACTTGCTTGAATGATGGAGGCAAATACAAAAATGGTAGCTTTGAATGGTACAAATTATCATTTGTGGAAGGGCAAGATGAAAGACTTGTTGTTTGTGAAGAAATTGCATCTTCCAGTCTTTACTACTCAGAAGCCGAAAAATATGTCTGATGAAGAATGAACTTTTGAGCATCAGCAGGTATGTGGTTTTATTCAGCAATTTATAGAAGACAATGTATATAATCACATTGCTAATGAGACACATGCTAGAACTTTGTGGGAGAAGATTGAGTCCTTGTATGCTTCTAAGTCAGGGAACAATAAATTGTATTTGTTGAATTGTCTGATGAATTTGAGGTACAAGGAGAGTTCTTCCATTTCAGATCACTTGAATGAATTTCAAGGGCTCCTAGATCAATTGTCTGGAATGGGTATCAACTCTGATGATGAGGTTTTGGGACTATGGCTATTGAATACTCAACCTGAGTCTTGGGAGACATTTCAGGTTTCAATTACAAACTCAGCTCCTAATGGTGTTGTTTCTTTGCAAATGGCAAAGAGTGGTGCTCTTAATGAAGAGATGAGAAGGAAGGCATAGGGTTCTTCATCTCAGTCTGAGGTGTTTTTCACAGAAAATAGTGGGAGAAACAAGAAAAAGGAACCGAAAGGTGGTAGAGAAAAGAGCAGGAGTAATTCCAAGTCAAGATACAAGAATGTGGAGTGTTATTACTGTCATAAAACAGGACACATCCAAAAGAACTGTTTTCTTTGGAAAAAGGAGAACAAAGGCAAGAAGGGCAAGCAGAAAGAGAAGGATCATGATGATGATGATCGTGTCACTACTACTAGAGGTGATGACCTTGTTCTTCTTCGTGACTATGAGTCTGTTAATCTTGTATCTGACGAGAGTATGTGGATAGTTGATAGTGGTGCTATACTGCATGTTACACCAAGGAAGGAGTTCTTCACATCTTACACTTCTGGTGATTTTAGAGTGTTAAAGATGGGTAATGATGGTGTGTCTAAGGTGATTGATGTTAGCGATGTTTGCTTGCAAACCAACATGGGAGTGCAGTTATTACTTAGAGGAGTAAAACATGTTCCTGATGTTCGTTTTAATCTGATATCTGTGCCTTTGCTTGATGATTGTGGTTATGACAGTCACTTTGGTTCTGGAAAGTGGAAACTCACCAAAGGTAACTTGGTTATGGCCAAAGGGGAGAAACATTCTAAACTGTATTAGACTAAAGCTTTGGTGGCTAAAGAGAGTGTGAATGTTATGTACATGGAGTCATCTTTGTGGCACCGAAGGCTTGGTCATATCAGTGAAAAGGGGCTTAATTGCTTAGCTAAAAGGATGCTCTTTCGGGATTAAAGAGTGCAGAATTAGAGAAATGTTCTCATTGCATGGCTGGTAAACAAACCAGAGTATCCTTCAAGAAGCATCCTCCCTCTAGGAAGTTAGAGTTGTTTGAATTGGTACATTCTGATGTTTGTGGCCCATTAAAGGTAAAGTCATTTAGTGGTGCACTTTACTTTGTTACTTTTATTGATGATTGTTCTAGGAATCTATGGGTCTATGTATTGCAGAGAAAAGACCAAGTGCTTGAAAAATTCAAAGAATTTCATGCTTTGGTTGAAAGACAGTCAGGTAAGAAGCTGAAAAGCATCCGTACTGACAATGGTGGTGAGTACTGTGGACCCTTTGATGTTTATTGCAGGCAGCATGATATTAGACATGAAAAGACTCCTCCTAAAACTCCTCAGCTGAATGGTCTAGCTGAAAGGATGAACAGGACCTTGGTTGAAAGAGTTAGGTGTATGCTTTCTGAAGCAAAGTTGCCTAATCATTTATGGGGTGAGGCTTTGCTTACGGCAGTGCATGTTATTAATCTTAGTCCTGCAGTTGCTTTGAAGACTAAGGTGCCAGACAAAATTTTGTTTGGCAAGAATGTGAGCTATGATCATTTGCGTGTCTTCGGTTGCAAGGCCTATGTTTATGTTCTAAAGGATGAAAGATCCAAGTTGGATGCGAAGACAAGACAATGTATCTTTATTTGTTATGGTCATGAATTTGGCTACAAGTTATATGATCCTATTGAGAAGAAGATTGTTAGAAGCCGTGATGTGCAGTTCATGGAAGATAAAACCATTGAAGATATTGGCAAAGTGGAAAAGACTACACCCAAGAAAGATAGTAATCTGACTGATGGTAATATAATATGGTTGCCTGTTCATAATTTGGATCATGCTGAGACTAATTCTCAGAATAAAGAGCAACATGGTGATGTTGATGACCAACAGGTTGGAGATAGATTAGAGGTTCCGATTGATGGTGATCAAGGGGAACATGATGTTGAGTACTGTTGTGAGATCATCGGATTGGTAGTCACCTCCACATAGCTGTTGAGTACTTCATTCCTACGATATCCACTTGTTCTCTAAGGACCTCTTGCCCTTAGGCAACTTGGCATAAGTGTGATTATCATGCAAGGATTTCATCTCATCCTGCATTCCATCCAGCTACTTTTTCTTTTCTTCACTCTCAATAGCCTCTTCAAAACACTCAG